GCAGTTCTCATGGAGCAAAGTTCCGTCTGCGTCTGCTTTAGGAACAACCTTCAAGACTTTCAAACACCACATTTAGCATAATAAAAGCAGTACTTCCTTATAGTTCATAGATTAATTAAAATAGAATACAACCAGTTCCAATATATGCAAAAAAAAAAAAAAGGTTTGCAAACAGGGGTGGCACAACTCAGTGAAGAGATCTGAATTTACAGAGGAGAGTTTTATTGGAGAGGTTCTGTAGAGGAGAATGAGGCTAGTTAGTAACACTTTTTACACCAATAGTTTTTTTCAGAGTAGGTTCATTTTCGTCTGGACACACTGTTGAGTTTTTAGTTACACACAAACAATAAATAAATGGGATATTTGCACCATTATTGCCAAGGAAATCTTACAAATAAATAAATAAATTATTCATAAAAAACAATTATTGAGTTGTCAAACATTATTTTATCTTGGTTCACGCAACAAAAAAACAAAAACAAAAAAATCTGCCATCATTTACTCACCCTCATGTCATTCTAAACATTCTTCTGTGTTTTGAGAAATGCCTCCATACAAGAAATGTGTACATACAAACATTCTTCATAATCTTCTTTTGTATTCCGCAGAAGAAATAATGTCAAACTGGGTTGGAATGACATGAGTAGCCTAAATGATGACAGAGTTTTCCCTTTTGGTTGAACTAACACGTATCTCTCTTTATACATCTGTGGAGATGAGTAAGTGTTCAAATCACTGGGTGCTACAAAACATTACAGAGAGACTGTTAATGAGAGAAAGTGAGAGCTTCTTTTTTCAATACTGACACAAGTGCTCCCTCTGCTGCATCACAGAGGCATAATGGGCACAATATGGGTTTTCAGATTAAAGACTGTCAGATTTATATATAATAAATATATAAAATAAAAATAAATAAATAAAAATAGATTATAAAAGAACGCAAAATATGAACATTTCACGAATGGGATCTGACTTGTGGACCCTACTGTATATGCACACACACTGAGAGAAGAAAGAGAGAAACAAAATGTTCTGTACCCGTCCACCCCAGGTAACAGTAGTAATAATGTAATAGAAATTATAAATGTATCTACCAAAGTGTTACAAATAAAACATTATTTCTGCATTTCCGGCAAAATTATCTCCCCTATTCCTTAAAAATGATCTATCTTTAGTCAGTCGCACTTTTAAACACATTTTAGTTTCACTATCCACCTTTTTCTTCAACGCGGAAGTAAGCCTATGGGTGAGACTTCCGGTTCCTTAGCCGCTATGGAGAATAACAACGTGTAGTAAACGGAAAAACTGTTTGCACTTAGGGCTGGACGATATGGCCTAAATTTATATCACGATATATTTCTTAATTTTGGTCGATACGATATAATTCCGATATCGATATGAACACTATTAAAAAAGCCTCATAAAAACGACCAAGAACGGCCACAACAGATGTCTGTACCTACAAATTTATGAAAAGACTCTATGAAACCTACTCCTATAAAACTATATAATATTTTAGGGAAAAAATGGCGCAAATAAATAAATGTTCACCTTTTATTGGTATTTAGCCTTCATACAAACAAGAAATGTGAAATCACTGTCAAATAAATCTCAGACTCTCCTTATTATTGATATTGAATTATTGTCCAGCCCTATTTGCACTACAAACCAGTGTTTTCATAATTATGATAATACATTAAAATAATATGATAAGACACACCAACTTTCAATATCAAGCAGCAAAACAAACTTTTCAGCTAAAAATAGCTGGACGGAGTGGACGCAGATGAGACCGGAAGCCAGACCCATAGAATTTACAAATGGCTGCGCCCATGTTTGCACAAGAAAAATGTGGATAGAAAATCTACAAATTCACACTCTGGCTGTGTCCGAAATCGCCCCCTATACCCTCATTCACTATTCCCTACATTAGGCCACTAATTCAGTTCACTAGAAGGAGTGAATGAAAACGAGTGAGTGATTTCGGACACTGAGTGCACCGGAAGGAATGCCGCTTTTGCATAGTTTGTGCTTGCTGTTTATTAATCATTTGAAACTAGCAACACTAGCAGCTCCAGTAGTAAGATTAAAGGATTTATCTTGAACTCTGTCACTGAAATTATGTATAAACCCTAATCAAACAATTTAATAATCAATTTACAATTAATTTATACCCGTGTTGTACATTATGCTGTACGCCATGGATGAGCGGGGATTGATTATTCAGCTGCGGGCGCCATCTTCTGGCGAGATGCGGGAATTCATTCGGCGCGTGACTCTCACGGTGCATTATGGGCATTCTCTAGCTAGCCTGCACCAGTTGTACACTCGTTTTGCAGTGCATTGTGGGATTGAATGAGTGCACTCGAGAACGTCCACTATGGTTTCGGACACCACCAAAAATGGCTGTTCCCTATTTAAAGGTATAGGGGGCGATTTCGGACACAGCCTCTGATTACATAGAGCAGCAGCAGGAAGCGCCTGATGTTGTCATGGCAACCAGATACAAAGCACGCGAATTACTGCTATGCTTCTCTTTTGCCACACTAAACTTAGCAATAAACAGGTTGAAAATAATACACAATAAAAATGTCTGTCAAAAAGATCTCAAAGGAGGCTTTTATTAAGCAAATCAAGGAGTGATTCATCCACTGTTTAAAAAAAATACTTTAGCTGGGTTTCCACAGGCAGGGTCACAATTATCTACACGTGTATGAAGCTAAATGTTTTTGGGTTAAGGTTCATAATGTAGAAAAGTTTTAACATTGTATGCTGCATGTGCATAGGTAGGAGCTAGCAAACAAGGAATACAGCTGTTAAGCTAATAGTCACATTTTGTTTGCCCCAATAAAGCATTTCTATTAATACAACTGATTAAGTAGTCAAACTCATTCCATATCAGCAGAATAGTGTGGTACAGAAAGTCTATGTCCATAAAACAGGTTCTGAATGAATTATGTTACTGATACCTAATGGTCAAAAGCAATAGCAAAAGTAATAGGTCAATATTATTAAATTGCACACAGAGACTTTGAATAGCTAGGCTTGCTTGTACACTATATTGCAAAGTACACTGTAAAAAGTAATAGAAAAGCGAGTAAACATAACTGATTTTTACAAATTTGTTGAATTTACTTAATTACACTGTGTTATGTGAACTTTCAGGTGGATGAAATAGTTAAACTAAACAACTTTAGTAAACAGTACTTAAGAGCATCTAGTTTGTTGGATTAAATCCCACTATGTGCCCTAATAACTCTAGACCAGTAGGTGGCGGAAGGTTGGTGTGATGCTGCTGACGCAGGAGCCGGCATCTGACGTAGAACACTACACAGTGACGTAGAATAATGCACTGTGCCTTGTTTACAAGCATTCTCAGATGTCATCAAAAATATCTTCATTTGTGTTCCGAAGATGAATGAAGGTCTTACTGGTTTGGAACAACATGAGGGTGAGTAATTAATGACAGAATTTTCATTTTTGGGTGAACCCTTTTTATAATGTGAAGAAAGAAAATAGAAATTAGGTAACAAAGAGTCTGACAAGAAAGAAGTCAGAAAGGAAGGACAGAAAAGAATAAAGGTAAGTAAGTGAAAGAAATATAAAAATCAAAAAGGAGGTTTGAAAGAAATAAAGAAATCAGATAAGCAAGAGAACAAAAACAAAGAGTCTAATATACAGTATGAGTGATAGAGACGTGAAAACCACTCGTTTAAGACATGGCCTATGAGGGTGCTCTTTCAGTGTAATTGTTCATGATTGATCATTATTGATTTAGAAAAAGGTAATTCTAGAAAATGGTAAATCTAGATTTACAAGGTGTCATAAAAGGGATGTTGATGTTTGTTTTTTTGTTTCTATTTATTTCCTGAGTGCAGTATGTGCAATTTTTTCTTAGTGTTAAATTGTTGATTTGATAGCATGCCTAAAAAATAATGACTTGAAGTAACATTGTTTTAAACAAATAAATGCCCTATTGTTGTGCTAACAATCTGTTTTCTGTCTTTGTATTAACAACTTTAAGTTTTGAGTACAGCTTACTTGAGAAATTTAAGGCAATCTGTTTCCACACATTTGTCTAGTAATGTGAACAAAGCAGACTTGTTAAGAGAACTGTTTTGTTTGAGTTCTGTGCACTAAGCTTAACTTACATCTCTAAGTTGGCTGAACTTGTCAAATTGAGTTAGCAACACTCAAGTTTTCTGGTAACCTCTACATATACACAAGTTACCTATACAAAGTTACAGTAAGTTTTATTAACTCAAAAATGATAAACTAATTTGCTTGAGAAATTTGAGGCAATCAGTTTCCACAGGTTTTCCTAGTAAGTTCAACTCATTACTTTTTTACAGTGTATTGGGACACCCCCTTCTAATGAACAGGTTTGACTACTTTAGTAATTTCCATGAGTACAAATCTTAACGTTTAAGCATATAATGATATTCTAGGAAATTTTGTTTGGTGTGTTGTGTTTGGTGATGAGTTTTTGGCTCAAGGTCTGCATTTAAAGTCACACCAGAGGTGTTCAGCTGGGATTGGGACTTGGTTTTATGCAGACCAGTCAAGTTCTTCCACACTGACTGAATCGATCTTTTTTATTTTATTTTTTTACTTTGCCTTATACACAGAGGCATTGTCATGTTAGAATAGAAAAGGGTCCTGTTCAAATTGTTGGTATAAAATTAGAAGCACACAATTCCCTAGAATATCATTATATGCTTAAACATTAGATTTGTACTCGTGGAAATGACTAAAGTAGTCAAACCTGTTCATTAGAAGGGGGGGTCCCAATACTTTGGGCAATATAGTGTATGTTTGGTGCGGTGGGGGCCCAACCTCATATTCTTTCATAGGGCCCAAAATTGCTAGCGGCGCCCCTACGTCCACCGTCACAGTCATTCTGGTCACTGATTTTTCGCTTCGCGTATAGCTTGAGTTCAGTGCAATATGTTGCTGCCGTGTGCCTCTGCGGCTTCCGTCAGCTGCGTTGCGCTGTCAACAGGACCCAAACACCAGCAGCAACAGCACACGGGAGCTTCACTTCTGGACTGTCCGCTGGCCATCAGCAGATACCTTACCTGTTCGCCTGTATTAACTCTGCCACGTCTTAGCAAACAGCCGGTAAACGGAACGCATGCAATGTTTTCATTTGGAGACACGACGTCCGTTAAAAAGCGCGAGAGCAGTAGGTGCACTTCACCGGCACTTTAACTGACCGGAACTGACAGGGGATGCGGAGATGCGCCCAGCCATGCCCTGCGCTCGTCTTCCCCGTATTTATGCCGCGATATGTGCTGTTAGTTGAGAACTGCTTTATAGAGAATGGGATGAAGTAGACACAAATGTGTTTATATGCAGCTTGTGCTATTATTATAGGCGGTTAAGAACCTCTTTTTCCCCATTAAAGGACACCGGACAGCTCTTGTGCCCAGAGCCACTCCTGTCCCGTTAGATCGCCATCAAAAACATTCAGCACACTGTAGTGATGTGCTATCTGTCAGTGTTAATAAGAATTATATAATGTTCAGACTGTAATCATGGAGTCGGTGCGTCTTCACGCTAATTTATCGGGCTTTATAGTTGGCTTTTATAGGCTAACGTTAGTTTTCTGTTTTTGTGCCTTAGTTTAGACAGCAGCAGCTGGTCCACGTTAGCACCTCATGCTAGTATATTATCCTGACATATTCACCAAACCTAGATGACATAACAAACAATCCGACCATTAACTAACACTATGAGCGATCACTATGAGAGAGTGAAGATTGAGCTCCAGCAGATGAAGGAGGTGGAGAACGAGGCCGCGGCCGACGAGGAGCAGCTGTCCCCGGCCACAGCCTCTTCAATCCCCGCTGACGTTTCATTTACGGCATGGAGAGACCTGTCCAGAAGTAGCGTTAACGGGAGAAGTCGGAGTAAAAGTAGGAGCAAAGCAGACGGTCATGAGAGACAGGTGAACGGTAAACAGCTGGCGGATCCGACAGCGCAGAAGTCAGACTCTTCACAAGGACAGAGCCGTGTGAGCAACGAGCCAAACCTTCACATTAAAGGAACTGCAAGGCTTTTAAAGAGTAAAACGGCGGCAAACGGTCACGTTGAGTCATGTCTGAGACATACAGATGGGAAATGTGAGCATCATGGCAAAGAGGACGGGAGCAAAGCGGCCAAAAAGAGGAGAGGTGTGACGGTGGACACCTCCAAGGCAAAGACGTCTCTCGAGGCGCTGAAGATGAGCATCAGACAGCTGAAGTGGAAAGAGGTGAGAGAACCCGTTTCCTGACCACCACATAACCTTAGACTTTATCTATCTGTCATTCCGATTACGAGGACTACTAAGGTTGTAGCATGCCATACCTTGTTAGGCTATTATTGGATTTGGGTATTCTTAGTTAAAAGTATTGGAAATTAATAAATTCTTCAAGAGTTAGTTCACCCAAAAATGAAAATTAGCCCATAAATTACTCACCATCAATGCATCCTAGGTATATATGACTTTCTTCTTTCAGACGAATCCAGTCGGAGTTGTATTAAAAATGATCTTTGATCTTTCAAGCTGTTTAATGCCAGTCAGCTGGTGTTGCAGTGCTTCAGTCCAAAAGAAGTGAAATAAAAAAGTGTCTCACACAGCTCCAGGGGGTGAACAAAGTCCTCCTGTAGCGAATCGATGCGTTTTTGTAAGAAAAATAACCATATTTAAAACGTAATAATCTATTTAATCTAGCTTGCGCTCACTGTTGTAAACGGAAGCAGCTCTGGGCGGATGACGTATGAGGTCGGCTTTGCACATGTGTTGCTCAGAAGCAGAGGCGGACCGTAACGAAGTACATTTACTTGAGTATTGTACTTAAGTACACTTTTTGAGTATCTGTACTTTAATTGAGTATTATTTTTTCTGGGAACTTATGACTTTAACTTCACTACATTTGAAAGACACATGTTGTACTTTTCACTCCACTACATTTCTATCAAGATCCTCGAAGTAGAAAGTCGTTATTATATAGCAGCTTTGAAAGTCAGTGGGTGATTTTTTTTCTTCTCTAAAACGTTACTTTCTTTTTTTCAGACAGTTTATCAATAATCACTCTTGGGGCTACATGAAGTGATTTCCCAGCATTTTTTGAACACTGACCAGCTGCAAATGTGATATTTATTTACAACAATTCAATAATAAGAAGTTAATATTGTGGCTAAATTGTGTTTGTGAAAATATTACCTATAAAGCCACAGAAGAACTGTTGTGCGTCTCCTAATAAAACACAATAGGTGTTGGACTTGAAGCAGCACTGCAGACCATTCTGTGTGTGACATCAAAGTACAGCGAGAGCGATTAGACAGCATTTTTAAAATGTTTGTTTTGATGTCAAATAAGTCTTGCTGTTTTGCTTTTTTGTTAAAGCAGTGTTACTGTTGTAAAGTTATACATCTACAGTTGTGTTGCTGGGTTTTAAAGCAGGTTTGAATTTTCTTTGTTTTTTCCTTATCAGTCTGTATTTACAGGATTTCACTGTTCACTGATGTGGATGAATGGCTACACATAGATGTGTGCACACTGTCAGAGCTGTGTGAGATCACTACCATCCTGCTTTTGTGAGGGTGGGTAGGGGTGTTCAATAATGTTTTTTGTTTAGTTTTTTTCCCCATAGGTTTTTAACATTCTAAAAGCTCTTTATTCCAAATATACTACAAGCTAGTCAGTGTATTCAGCAGGTGTAATGTATTCTAAGTTGCTTCAGAAGTATTGTAAGTATTACAAACAACAATAATAAAACAGTGCATTGACATAAAAAGGGAGTATAAGGAAACTTTGCTTCCGTTGCTCCTGCACAAACGTTGGTTTTCACGAGACTCACCGGCGCATACGCAACGTTGACCTCATACGTCATCCGCCCGGAGCTGCTTTCGTGTACAACTGTTGGCACAAGCTAGATTAAAGTGATTATTACATTTTGAATATGGATATTTTTCTTACAAAAACGCATCGATTCGCTACAGGAGGCCTTTGATCACCCCCCGGAGCTGTGTGAGACACTTTTTTTTATGGATGGGCGCTTTTAATTTCACTTCTTTTGGACTGAAGCAATGCAACACCCGCTGAGTTCCATTAAACAACTTGAAAGATCAAAGACAAAATTGAATATAACTCTGACTGGATTCGTCTGAAAGAAGAAAGTCATATACACCTAGGATGCTTTGAGGGCGAGTAATTTATGGTCTAATTTTAATTTTTGGGTGAACTAACCCTTTTAAAGTCCTAGTGTAAAATGATTTTGTGTGTGTGTTTGGAGTTACGCTCTGTTCTAAAATATTTAATTGTCTAGGACAGGGTTCCTCAAATCTTGCCCTGGAGGTCCAGTGCGCTGTAGAGTTTAGCTCCAACCCTGATCAAACTCACCTACCTGTGATTTTCTAATGATCCTGAAGACACTGATTAGCATGCTCAGGTGTGTTTGATTAGGGTTAGAGCTAAAGGGGTCCTATTATGCTTTTTCACTTTTTTAATTTTAGTCATTGTGTATGTTTGGGCATAAAAAAAATCTAGAAAGTTACAAATCTCAAAGTCCACTCCAAAGGGAGATATTTCGTTTTTTTAAAAATCCCTTTTCAAGAACTACAACGAACGGCTCTTTTGGACTACAGCGTTGGTTTCCGGGCTTTGTGATATCACAAAGCGGCTCATTAGAATATAATTAAAAATAATTCCCGCCTACAGAAATTTGAATGGTTGAGGGATGGGGAGGTGCGAGGTTGTGGTTAGAACGCTTGGGTGGGTGAGTGAGTGCATCAGACGAGACAAAGAAGTGCTGCTGCAGAGTTAGTGCATCAGAGAAAACGAAGAAGAAGAGCTGGAGTGCTGTAGCGTCAACTTTTCAGCATGTCTGGAACAATTCTTACAAGTATAACATGACGTAGCTGGGCGCCGCGGACAGACGCCGAACGGTGCCACTGGTGTGCCTACACTCATAGAAAATAATGTATTTCAATTTTAAAGATGTGGCGCGACGCTGCGCTTCTCCTCCGGTGTGCGACCGCCTGAAACGCTGTTTTTTTTCACCTCCGTGCCCAAACGTCTTTGTTTGGGCTTCCGAAAGCGGATGATGTCAGGAAACAGTGGTTGCAATTTATTTTTTAACTCGGTTCCTGAGCATTATAACCCCAATTTGCTATTGTGTGCTGCGCATTTTACTGAGGACAGCTTCCACAACATGAGGGAGTACAGTGCCGGATTCAAGGGGCGTGGCAGTACTGAAACACCATCTAAGCTGTTCGCCAATCACTGGGACAGCTAACCAATCACAACACATTTTGTTTTTCGGAAGGTGGACCTTCATCAAAGCCGGAACTAATCGAGCCGTTTGTGCCAGGCTGGGGAGAAAGGTATTTTAATAATGTAAATTATGTGAAAAATTATGAATTTTTCGAACCACTAAGCATGAGAGCATGTTCTAGTACACCCCCAAAACAAAATCAAGACTTTGTAAAAGAGCATAATAGGACCCCTTTAACCTCACATCTCAAGACCCTTATCAGACCCACTGCAGGAAGTATAGTAGATACTAAAGAACTGCAGGAAGTATAGTAGATTATTTTAGTCATAAAATAATTACACTCTCCATTACTTTTGCATAGATTGCATTGTGTATGATGGACACAGGCACTGAGGATCAGTCTGTTTAATTCTATCTAGTCGGAGGAACTCAAACACATTTGGTATAGTATGTCTGGTAGTGAAGTTTTTCTCTGTAACCAAGTCGGCAAGTATATGATGCCTAGTGTTTTAAAATCTATTCAGATTTTAAAAACTGTAGTGTATTGCAGCCTTTTTATGCCACTGAAAACACTGTAACAAAATAGATTAGCTTTACTTTTTTTAATGCATCTGTGATTCTGTTACATCTATATTAGATGAATCCATTGGACTTATCTACCCTTTTTTAGGTTTCTGCAATGTAAACAAACACTTTCTCATGACTTGTAGGCTTAATATTTCAACAGCCATTGCCAGTCTTTAACCTTGTCCTTCAACACCATGTGAGTAAAGCACACATATGATTACACTTGACTGTCTATGTGAAGTCACTCTGCATTAAAAAAAGAAACCCTTATTAATACATTGATAAGATGTCAAACTATACCATGTGGTGCACAACACCTGGCAGGTTGGAGATAGTGAATGGGTCTGCTGAGTGAATGTCTACACCCCCTTCTACTGGTTTCCACTGAAATATTATGAGCCTTTGTAATTCAAAGCTGCCTTGTTAAAGGTCGGTTTCAAATTTAAGCGTGTCCATTATACCCTTTATCCTGTCTGCTACACCAAAGACTGATTCAAGGGCAGAAGGAGTTCCCACCTGTGGTTTTGAAAATGTTTAGAAGACTATCAGTCCTTGAAGTTAGAAACATAGATCCAAAGATCTAATTATGACAGTTAGAAACAAGGTATGATATAATCTGTAAGCGCTTGATACGGACGGTTTAAGACCTGCTACTTGAGCTAAAGAGCCAGAATTGGCTGTCAACAAGCTGGCAAACTGATGGCAGTTGTTGTCATTAACCATTCAATATCTTTATTGTGTTCAGCTGAAGTTTTCTGTACAACTAAGATGGGCCTTTGCGAAACTGGATGCTGCAATCTGTAAGGCAGATTTATCACAGTAGATCGTCTGTGATCTGAGGTCTGTAGTAACTGGTGGTGTTGTGAATATCGTAAACAATTTAGTTGCATTTGTGCATGTAGAAAAATCAACCATTCACATATTTGGTTCTATGTTCCTGTTTGGCTCTAAAAAGGTCTAATCTAATTTGCCATCATCTAAATCTGACTTCAGTGCATTTACATTTTTGATGTGGGGTTGCAAAGACAGATAACGGTCTAGTAATACAGTTGAATGCTGACTTTTATCATATGCATGTCTCCTTCACAGTGGTAAATGATTAAGCACAATCTGGGATAAACCCATATGCCTGTATTCCCACTGCTCTGCATGCCTGTATGGAACAGAACAGTAGAACACCAGTGCTTACAGTGTAGAGCTACATGTGTGGTTGTTGTAATTTGTACATTTAGATTAGTCCAGTAAGGATTTAATACAGATTCTCCACACTGCACACAGGTTAGACATACTCAGCACACAAGCACATACATGCACCACACAGGGGCTCAGCCAGACCAGGTAAACATATCCATTTGTCTGTAACACATGATAAATATCTAAAGGGGGTGTAGGCTGATGTGACCGGGGTAATCATCCTCCCTGGAGA